GATTTCATCCTTCTCTTCTCCGTTCTGTGAAATTTTCAACATCTTCCCCGATTTGATCTTGGCCCAGAGTAACAATTCCCCAACAGTTTAGATTTAGGGCCTGGGACTATTCACTGTAAGTGGATTGGGTTTGTCCAGCCTGTGTTTGAGCAGCCAGGCTACTTCAGTTGACCTCTCTTCTGAAGAAAAGGGTCTGGCATTGCTTGCTTTACTACTACAAACGTATCCAACTCAAACTTGGGGAAAAAAAACAAAACAAAAAACCAACTCCAACCCTGCTACAAAGATGTGTTATAATTTATAGATAAGTATTTTATTTTGTTACTGATTTCCCCAGTTTTGAAGACTTGGACGCCTGTTCAGTCCACATGGAGATAATAATCTTGGCTAGCAGTAGTAACTTCCTCTTCAGTTTTTACATTTTTGAAAATTTTCACTCATTTCTTTAATGGAAAGTCTTGCCTTCTACTTCCTAATGCAGTCTTAATGTTCTTTGTGATTCTTAAATTACTTTCCCACAATTTTCCTTCTAGTCATTATAAACACCAACCAATATTTCATCTGGGATATATACTAAGTACACACTCTGTAAACACAATATTGTTGTTATTATTCAACCTTCATCCTTCTTTCCATGTAAAGACATGCAGTTATCTTTTACATTTTCAACTCTGCAGTGGTGGTCTAGAGGTCTGTATTCTCTCAGAGTCATATTTCATCCCAACCTGCCAAGATGTCACAAGACACAACTAGAATGACATGGGTACTAACTGACCACAAGTGATCACTGTGGAGTATTTGAAGGTGATGGCACCTACTAAGTTTTACATGCTAACATCTTTGCTGACAGTTTAAGTGACAAGCTATGTAGATCTCTTCAGGAGGCAATGTGTCAATACCTTTGTCATGTGTTTTGTGTCCCCACTCTCAGTTCAGCCTTTGCTTCCGGAAATGGTTCAGTCCAAGCTGTGCATGCACATCACTTGAAAAGATATTGATGCTTTTTGTTGTAGCTAGATTATCTTCTCTGGCATACCACAGAGTTTAAGATTATCCTTTATGTAGTCATAATGATATTTTCTACAATAAATCTCAAGGGTCCCATAGTGAACATCCCCATGCTTTTTTTTCCTTTGTCCTTCGTGTTTTCCATCTGCAGAAATGTGGGTGTGGATCGAACACTTAATCTCTCCATGGTCCCTTGGTATTCTTTTTTTGGATATGAAATTTTTCATTACTACTTTGTTAGTAAGTTCATCTTCTGTACCTTACTAATTTAATTTGCACTCCTTTTATTCTTGTATAGAATACCTCTGTGATAGGTGACTATGTGTCCAACCTCATCAGTGTTATCAGCATACAAATACCTAGGAAATATGTGACTATTAATACATTTTCTGGAGAATCCTTTGAAGTGATTTTTTGGCCATTCTTAATTTCAGTCATTTACCTCTTGCTCTTACCTGCTCTTTCAATGGTCTTTGCTGTTAGGACTTCCTGGAGCTGTTAATCTGCCCTTGGGTGCAAAACATTTAAACCACAAAAAAAAGTCATTCTACTTTGGATTTTCTATTATTTTCCTTTTGTAAGGATCCATTTTTGGTCTTTTAATTTTTCTTGTCTTACCTCATCTTCAAGATCTCTGTTCCCTATACACAGTCAGTTATGTCCTGGAGTTCTCGCCAGATAATAGCAGTTTCTTTGAAGAGTGAAAATGGCAATTTTTTTGCACGATTGGGGGATTTTTTGAAATAACCTCCTTCAACAGGTGCTGAAGATTAATTCTGACTGTACATCAGAATTGTGTTTTCTGTTAGAGATGATGAAAATAAGCCTCCATTCTTCCACGACTATTCAAAGGTGGCTGGATGCTTCATATTTCTTGGGTATTTCCTTGTTGCTCATATTATACTCTTTGAATAATAATTCAAATTAATTCTTAATAAATTTGCAAGCTTCTTTTATCAAGTGCCTGTGTAATTTTTTTTGCAAGACTTATTACGGAGGCCATTAGTCCTGGAAAAGAGGGCTAGGATTGAGTGGAACAGTAACTTTTGACATTTATTACCGTGATTTGCCAAATTAGCTGAATAACAGTAAGATAAGCAATGCATCTGGACTACTGCTTGTTTGACTTTGTATTTGTCTGGCTTAGAACAACGTAACTCACAGTATTTAATTGCAGGTTCAGAATTTCTCTTTTGCTGCCAGTGTTTTCTTGATCTCTGGAAAACTGAACACAAAATAGGAAAAAACTCCTGTCTTACTGGTGAACAGATCTCTTCCATCAATGAAAGTGCTATTCATAGCCCTGAGAGTGTTGCCTCTCCAAATCTCCTTTTGTTTCCTTCTATTACTGTAATTCCAAATCTAAACTCAAATCTTAAGATAAGTTAGATCACCTATGCCACATCATGTATGGTTGGTATATACTGTTCCAGTGGCTCTGTTTTAATATCTTTACCATTTTGTTTAACACATCCAGAGCACTTAATTACTAGTCTCTGGTGCCCTATTATACTTTTATGTGGGAATAAACTTAGACACGCATGCATACATGGAACTGGCATGGTACTTTTTGTATTTCTTCATTTTGTAGTCTACTAGTCCATGGATGTTTCTAGTAAACCTTTGAGTTTAGTTCAATCATAACTCACAGTGAAATAAACTGCAATTTGGACTCCAAATTTCACTGGTTTTGCACACCAGTACGTTTTCTTCTTCAGACAAAACTTGTATCATTTATTTTTATAGCCCTTGTTTTGTCTCTTTTTTTTTTTTCGAATTGACTTTAGTGTAAAGCTTTACCTGAGAAGGAAGACATGCTAAACATGTTGTTTCTTCGGCAGCCCAGATTAAGGGGCCTACATTGCTCTTGGGCCAGAGAGTCTTTCAGTGCTATGAATGCAAAATTAGCCTATAACAATTGTACAAAACTCAGATAAGTATAAACAGTGATTGCAAGATCCTGATTCCAGTGTTAGTGTAAACTCAGAGTAGTTCTATTGGTATTTACACATTTGAAGTTTCATTCCAACTCCTGAAGCCTTGCCTGAGATGAAA